TTTCGCATCGGCGCTGCTCCGTCGTGCTTCTGAAACGTCTGTCTGAGAGATTACGGAAATTACATTTTTCGGGGCTGACTTAAGGGAATCTTGCAAGGACCTGGCGTTTGGGTGCTGTTGACGTCTGGGGGTCGTCAGTCGACTCCCCAATTCGCGCTTCTCAGCTGGATAGTCGTTGCAGGAGCTGGTGCGAGGTTGACAGGCAGAAACAAAAAAGCCTGTGATGCATGAGGGTAAGCAACTGGGCTTTAAGGACATCGCATTGCCAGAGAGATTGCTGTTTAGGAGAACCCATCACCTTATCCTGCTCAACTATGGGGGCATATTGAACAACCACTGCTTTACAAATAGAATAACTGGACTGGTTACCCTCAACAGGGATGACACATGGGACTTTGGCCCCTTCAGTTGTGCAATTCATTAGGAAGCACAGCTGGAGAGTTCAGCTACCGATTCTAAACATCTAGCAAACCCTTCAATGGATTCCAGCCTTCTACAGAAACAGAAGCGCACAGTGTCTCGTTGTTAAAATACCTCAAAAGCACGTTAAAATTAAATTCTCTGTTTAGCCTTTGCATTATGCAAAATTCAACACAGTGTGAATAGCGCAGTAATTAAAAGACACACACACACATAAAACGGGTCTACATGCTATTTCGGCGAAAACTTTTAATTGGATTTCTTCAATTAGGTCTAGGCCGTCATGGGATTTGTCTAAGTGTTTGAAATGCTGGGACTCGTTTTAAAGAAACATTAGGAATAATTTTAAATTAACTGATATAGGAATGTGAAAATGTACGCCACAATAGCCCTCAAATAACTATGCATCGGAATGTGCCGGATATGTCAAAATTCTTCCAGGAGGATAACTTGAAGCGACAAAGACGCTTTAATTACTTCACAACATAGCTGTAATTACATACGTCTGAAGACTAATCAAATGTTTCTAAATTCCTTCCTGCACACGCTCTCCTTGAATTAGGAAAGTACCACTAAATGTCATGTAATTGGGTCTCCAGCAAGGGTGTGCTTACTGCTGTAATTAGGGCCAATAGGGAAGCAGAAGAAAGACTGCGATTGCACGACCGATAACCTGACAGATCGCATGACATCATACACGTGGGGGGGGGGGCGGGGGGATATTTATATTAAAGCATGTCTGCGCTGTGATAGGATACGGATGTGCTAGCAGGGAACGGTAATGAATTCAGGCAGTCAGCCAGACTTCTGTCCAAGTTCTGGCACATGAATCCTCTACTGTAGCCAGTATGGGGAGGTGAATAGTCTCAGTACTTCTGATGAAACCTTAGCAGGTTAATTCAGGCTTATGAATTAATTCAGGCTTATGATTAACTGGGGTCAAAAGTTCTTAGAGTTATAGTGCTGGTGCAACTAGGTTAGAACCTCAAAAACCCCAAGCAACAATGCTGACAACCTTCTACAGGTCATCAGAGTACGTGACCCAAACCCTACTCTGGCAGTGGTCCCGCAGAGAGAGCGTATAACCTCGCTGGGGTCAAGGCCACCCGACCCCCATTCCTCTTACTGCTGCATGGAGCGACATTATCCTGCCAAATCCAAGAAGAGTGGGAACAGCCAAGTTGAGGGCAGGGACACATGCCTGTGCTGTGTGCTTTTTGCTTCCGAAGGGTATGAGGCACCCCCCCCCCAACCTCCATGCCGCTAAGCGATTAATACGCCCGGTCGTTAACGCTGACGGCGGCGGCTCTTATTAGATGCGATCTGACAGCGGCTAAGCCAATTAAGGCAAGGCTGATTAAATTCACCCGGACACTTCAGCAAAAGCCAGGATGAAGTCAATTAATAGGGCTTGAGGGCGAGACAAGGGTTAATCAGTGACACGAATCCCAGTCTTTTCTCTCATTCTCTTCGACTGCCGATCCCCCCGGATCTGGCGCCTCACACTTGATCAGAGACGTGGCCGGTCCGAAACGAGCCGGCAGCCTTAATCAGTGGCTTTCCAGTCTCCACAAATAATTTGGAGCAGTGAAAGTACACAACAAAACAAAAACTACCCAAAAAATTCACGAGATACTCCCTCTGCACACTTTGAACTTGTGTTGCGCTCGTGGCTGTTACGCAGTAATCTGGGGGTTCCCAGTCTAATTTGCTTCGAGATGTACGCTGGTCCATTATTACAAATTAGCCAAGTTATACGACTTCATTTGGTATCCAATTCCGTTAGTTCAATTTTCTTTTTATGTACATTGAAAGCTAGCCGACCTCTTAAAACTGCACAGGAACCCATAGAAAGCCAAGCTCAATGGCTTGTGACCAGCCTCATTTAGCAGAAAAGTCGAAGCGGAAGTGGCAGCAGGGAAAAAATCTGGGTGTAAAAAAGAAAAAAATAAACCATCTCCCAACGTACCGTCTCTGCCGAACTTTTTCATCTACTTGTAGTCAGGCTAAGAACAAATAAATCACATTTAAGAGAAGAACTGAATAAACACTGAAGGGCACAAAAAGGGCTAACAGGAAACCCAGGATGTCACAAGGAGAATTTCTACGCAACATTCACCTGTTTCTTGCATTGTTGTTTATAAACAATACAAATAATATCTGATTCGCATTTACATTCACTCGTTTAGTAGATACAGTAGTAGATGCCCAAAATGATGCACAAATGTGAAAGCTTGGAATCATGATGCAGAGTCAACCAGCATCCGGTACCCATAGAGCAATTGCGGTTAAGAACCCATAACATACCAGGTACTGGCAGAGATCCTCCTCTTGGTCCAGTTCAACCATCCATTAATTTCCTGCAATCACTTCTCCTGTTCAGGGTCGGGGGGGGGGGGGGGGGGGGGGGTCCAGAGACTTTTGCAGACGCTACAGACGCAAGGCAGGGAACAACCCAGCATGGGGGGGCAACCCATCGCAGGGCTCACTCACACACCATTCACACACACACTCACACACCATTCAGTCACACACTTACACACCATTCACACACTCACACACCATTCATTCACACAGCATTCACATACACACTCACACACCATTCACACCTACGGGCAATTTGGCAACTCCAATTAACCTTTGTTTTTAGACTTTGGGGGGAAACCGAAGAACCCAGAGGAAAACCCACAAACAACATGGAGAGAACATGGAACCTCCACATGGAGCCATGGCGGAGACTCAAACCCTGGTCCCAGAGACATTAATGTTCGAATACAAAGTGCTTCAAAACGAATCGCACTCAGCTTCTTGCATAAGTGCTCTGACACACGCCTTTCACATGAAATTGTCCCAGCACAACAATCCCAAGCAATCGAGCACTAGGAAGACTGGGTCAAAAAAATTCACACAGAAGTTTTCTCTGATGATTCTGTTCCTTCCTACCACCTGAGTCTTCAAACACCCGTCAATTTACCTTTTTACCCCCCCTCCCCCCCCCAAAACCACAGAGGAAGATGAATCATTGTCACACATCTAGCGACAGAGTAATGAGACTTTAATAAATTATGTGCACATTTTAAAAATGTGCCATGTTCAATCTAGGAGAGTGGCCCTTTGATAAGGCAGTTAAGCAGTCACTGTCACAGTCACTGTCACTGTCACAGTCACCTGCCCATAGCTGTTCCCTATGCACCAGGTGGCCCTGTCTGCAACTGGGTTTTCTTAACAGGATTATAGATAGCATGCAGTTGCATGCATTTATCTCCGAGCAGCTGATGTGTTGGTCCTGTATAACCTACACTCCTCTTACCGTCCTTTAGTGTTCCATTTTTCAGCAGCTGACTGAAAACTCGACTGATTAGCATTAAGAGAAAACTCATCCCTGAAAACACCTCTGCCAGGCACCAGTGCCACTCAAATGTGCATTTGCAAATGTGACACGTGATTGATTCACGGCCTATGAGAGGCCCAAGGCCTGAGGACAAAACATTAAAGGAGCACTCAAAGAATGAATCTTTTGCAATTGCAAAAACTCATTGACACAATACCTTTCTAAGGTCTCTTTCAAAAAAGACTGTATTATATAGACTACTTTCTGCTCAGAAGCTATATTTCATTACTTAGCGAATGATTCTCCAACAGCACACGACCGTTAAGATTTGGGAGGAAATGTATTATTATAACCTGATAATTATTACCCACGAAAATGGAAAAATAGCCATTTCAGACTTTAAAGTAAACGTGTTTGGATATTACTATTCATGACTGTTGTTGAGGATGGACATATTTAATGTTTTCGCAAATCCTTTACGTGCTTTTTGACGCCCACTCGCAGATGAGCTGGAATCGCTTATTGTTTGTTCTGTGCGGCGTGACCAGCACAACGATTTAATATATACGACATATTTATGAAGAGTCTGTTTAGGGAGTACGGAGGGTGCGCTCCGGGAATTCCCTCATGCTACCGGCAGTCTCCTTCTGCAAACCGTATCCAGCAATCGGACAGCTCAGTGCGCCGGCTTCAGGACCACGGACAGCTCGCTGGACCTGACCGGGCCCCTCCAATCGACTGATGTTCGCAAATGGGCGAACTTTTGCAAAACCAAAATGCTTCAAGGTGCACAACTATCAAGAGAAATTCATTGCCTCACATCAAGGCATTTGGAGTGTGCAAATGTTTACCTCTAAAATGAAGTGTCACTGCTGTTCAAATAATTCATACCCACTTTTATCCCTCAACACTAAGCTCACCCAATGGACCACGATTCGATTTTTTTCTATAGACTATATGAGGTCTGCATTGACTGTCCACATGAATGTAAAATAACTTTTCACTGGGCAGGAGATTTAAAGACACCATCCAGTTATATGATACACAGAACCTGTAATGAGTGTTAAAATTAATCGATTAATAGTTAATTGTTACTCAGCAAGGCATAGTGAGCTTTGCGCGCTTGCCACCGCGATCAGGTGGCGCAACAGTTACTGCGCATACGCGGCGCTACGGCGCATCAATGCACATCAAAGCACAATTTCACATGGTCACGTGGCCGGACAGCGCCGCCACAGTCAGCACCTACCCCAGCGTCGTCATGGTGACGATGGTGTACCAGAAAGCCGCGGGGATACTGGTGAACTTGCTGGCGGTAGAACCCTTCTCCGCGTAGAACATCACCGTGGCGAAGATGATGATGGCCATGGTCAGGGAGAAGAGCAAGAAGCCCAGCTCGGAGGCGCAGCTCTTCAAGGTGTAGCCTAAAATGCGCAGCCCCGCCGAATGGCGGGAGAACTTGAAAATCCGGAACACGCGGAAAACCCGCAGGGTGACAAAAGCCCCGCTCACGTCCTCGTTGTCGGTCATCACTAAGCCGATGTAGTAGGGCATGATCGCGACCACGTCGATGATGCTCATGACGCTCTTGACGAACTTGTATCTGCTGGGCGCCGCCAACAAACGCAACAGGTACTCGACCGTGAAGATCATGACACACGCTGTATCCAAGCAGAAGAAGGCCAGGGCGTAGCGCTCGCCGCAAGATATATCCTTGACCCTGTTGGGCGAGGACCCACAGGGCACGGTCTCCACCACGTTGGCCATGACGGAGACGGCGATAAAGAAGCCTGTGACATAATAAAACACCAGGGCCATCGTGCTGGTGTGTGGGTTTTCAAATGCGCGCCACATGGACTGCCGTAGTGTCATATCCGGCGACACCAAATCATTATTATTCTCATTGTCCTCGTCGTCCTGGATGCGCTCCGCGTTTTCCCGTCGGCGATCCTTGTACTCTTCGTAGCAGCAGTCTCCGATGATCTCCGGTATTATCCCAAAGAAGGCCAGCTCTTCGTCGTAGGCGGAAATGCACTCATGCCGGGGATAGTGCAGTTTGCCGGTGCGGTAAAAATTAAGTATGTGTCTGAATATGTCGGGATCTCGGTCAAAGAAATACTCATTACTCTCCTCGTGGAAGAAGAAGTCTCTCTCCGTGCTGCCCAGCAGAGTGTCTGGGTACCGCTCCAAAGTGTTCCTCCAAGTTTGAAACTTGGTGCCGCTGACATTGAGGATTATGAGGCCGTCCTGCGTCCGCCGCTTCTCCCTCGGGGGCGTCGGCATAGGTGCGCTCGCCACCGGCATCCATCCTATAGCCGCAGCCCGAGCAAAGGGAAGCCAAGCGGCCACTCCCGCTGCCATGCTGACCTCGCTTTTCGGCAACTTGGTCCAGCCGAGTGACAACTGAAAGTCCCGCTTTCTGAACTTACACAGCTACGGTGCGGCGATGAAAGGACATCTACAGATCGATAAAATTGAAAAATGCTGAAAGGCGCGGTAGGATTCAGCAAAATGACATTAAGTAAAAAATTCTAAACACATTTACAGTTGTGCTCCGATTAGTTGGACGTGCATAAAAATATGCAGATATACAGCAGCCCGTGCCTGCGATCTGTCCCTGTGTGCCAGATCAAAACTGTAGCACAATACAAAGTAGGGGAAAAAATCCGTGAACCTGTGCTTTGAAACGTAATCTGAAGAGATGCAGATCATGCACTATTTCTTTGTTTTGCATTTTCCCCCAAATATAAAGTTAATTTAGTATTAACGTTTAAATTGTTTTCTGTTAAATTGTTGAATTGCCACTCACCTTCGCGTGAAACTGGTTTATTGAAAAGAGATACATAAAGGCGGTTTTCTTCTGTTTTACAATCTTCAGGGGGAAACAGGACAAATACTCAGGTTTTCCCGCAGCAATAAACCGGAGAGTATTGTGAAGGAGCAGCTTAATTCCTCCTCAGGAATGTCAGAATGAACCAGCAACAAGTTCAAAAACGGATCGAGGTAATCACGCCTGACTTGAACGCAAACCCACCCGCACAGTCATCAGAGGACACGCATTTTCCTTCTGCATTAGTTCCCCACCAGGAAGCAACAAGATGGGGTCTCCTTCAGTGCCTTTTCTCCTGTATGATCCTCCCCAAAAGAGAAGCACAACTGAGCTCCTTTCATCGAGCGCAAGACCACCCTGGCGAGCCGGGGCACCGGGTTTGTGTGCTAGTGCAGGCGGAAAATACGGTAGCCTATCACTAACGGGCGCCGCCTGTTCCTTTGGAAATGTCACCGATGCCGATACCTGGAAATAATAAAACAACAATCAAGCCATAGACATCCAAAGTCGTTAAAATAGCTGACAGATGCACACAGATCGAGTCGCCCCCGGACAGACTTGCATAAACGTTGAGCTCTAGGATAGACCAAGTTGCCCTCGGTCCTGAAAGCAACAGCAGCGTGTCACGTGTTGCAACTATTAGCTAACTATTATGGATGTAGCGAAGCCGTCGCCGCTTAAATGCGTCCTTTGGTGTCTGCATGACAATAACGGCGACCGCAGTACAATTATTAATTTAAGTCAGGCGGTAAAGTTTTCTTCTCCCATACTCAGGGTTAAGCTTCTCATTTTAAGGTCCGAACTCATATCGGAGAGCTTTTCATTTCACAAAAGAAAGCTCATAGAGGGAGGAACTGCAGGTGACGGCTGTTGACTTATGAGAATTTTTGCTCGTAGAAAATAAATTTTAAAACGAATAAAATAATACACATAAATTACATAGACGCTTAATAAAATGCCGCTAGATGGAGACAACCCTTAATACAGTCCGAGCATACCCAAAACCCCGAGTCCCCTGCCGCTTTCCTGAAACTGAAATAAAGAAATACATCCCTCACTTGGCTCTGCTTGAAATTATTCTCTCACAGCGCAAGCGTACTCCCCGCTGTCCCAGAACTGATCCAGAACCTCTAGGTCAATGTCGTTTTATTGATTTATTGTGGGGCACCATACACTAATATCGCACCCAGAACAAACGCTACATTTATTATAAGTTAATGCTTATATAGGTATTTTTGCAATTAAACACGTGACATTTTTAAAGCCGTTGATCCACGAGGAGACGGGGCGACACCGCATCCGTGCGTTTAATTCACGGAGATCGGTGTCTGTTGCAATGCAGTGGGGCTTTAATGAATAAACAACACCGACCGAAGCTGTTTGATATCCCCGTAGCCTATTTGCAGATTTGAATCATGACTACAGAGACATTATCGCGCCGCCACCATATGGCAATTCGTCATTGACAGTTCGCTCACACGGCATGCCGTTTATTAAAGAGGATATACCTGGCCACTATGTAAAAGCTTGTACCAGTTTGCCAATTCGGCAATCAAGAAACCTGGGCTATCTAAAGAATGCAGAATGGCTTTAAAATAAATGGCATTATTTTTTATGGTGAAATTTAAACTAGGAGCGTATGTTAAAGGCTCTAAGTTGTCCTCACTGTCAGCATACTTTTGGCACCACTTATTTTCTGTCACTGCCATCGTTATAGTTCAGTGGCCAACGTTTTATCACATTACATCGAAACTGGTGTCCAAAATGGTTTAGCGAGGGATTCGCCTGCTTATTCGGGACAGCTGCGTCCCCGCGTTTATAAAGGACTGCTTTGCGTTTCCCTGCGACAGTTTTTAATGATCGCTTTGGCTCGGCCACCAGTTGGAAAAGGGCAAAATTACTGTTGAACTATACATATTGCCATTTCGCAGCACTGGCACGGCGTCGCTGGCAACGATGCGGCATCGCGATCCAGCAGCTGTCCGCGTGGTAAACTCAGTTCCCTACTGGCATGACATTGCGGATCCGCCGCTTATCAGTTCGCGCCGTGTGCGCATCCCCGCCGTCCATTCTCAATGGAGAAGGAAGAGCAATCACGTAAATCGCTAATTAAGAGATTTTAATAACAGAATGAGCACTTCCGAGAATACCCCAGCCCGTCACGTCGTCAGCACCGCGGAGAGCGATCGCAGGGCGCTGCCTCGTCCCTTTTTGCGGGCAGACGCACCCGTAATAGCGGACAAAGATCCAGGACCACAGCGCATCAACGGCACTTCGCACCCGGCTTATAAGAGCAGGCAGCCTCCCCACCGCCTCATTTCATGGCGTCATGTACACCAGCCGGGCGAGCCTTTTTCAATTGTGCACTTATTTTTTCATATGACCGTCTTCGGCAGTATCACAGGGAATTTCTGACAGTCCTCCCGGGCTGTAAACTTACGAGGAAGACAGTTTGCCGAGACGGATGCAGGAAAAACACAAAGAGCAGTTCACTTTTGCGGTACATCGCGCTGTCAATACATGAAGTATGTACTGCAATTTTGCTCAGAGAACAGCTGAAAGCTGTATACAAGAGAAACTGAATGATGTAGACAAGCGGTACAAACATTTAAAATATTATAGTCATGAAATCCATTCAACAGATTGTAAAGATGTGCGAATATACTATCATAAAGACAGCAATTAAGTGTATTTTGTCCAGTTTATGTTCACATATTTGTATATCTATCACGTACATTATTTCATTCAACACGTATGTTTACATAGCTAATCCAGCCTGTAGTAATAAAATGGTTAAACGTCACTTGTGATAGCTGCATAAATATTATAGAAGTTCCTGACTTTGTAAAATTAGCTCCATTTTTAAAAGATTTTCACATTCCTGCTGTATTTGTAGGCACATTTAAAAACATTTGATTCGAAATTAAATTAGGCTAAAACGAAAGATTAAAGAAACGAAAGATAAATATTCATTAAGTTTAAATTGATTTCAGTTTGAAAACCACTGAGCCTTACTTATTACTTGAAGGTGCCAAAATATTCACTGAAATGTGAATTTTGTTTAAAAGAATCCCAGCTATATTCAAAGGGCAGAGTTTGGAGAAATCAACAAGCTTTTTTTTTCTTCGGCTGGCTTGCGATGCCGTAGCCTATAACGATCACAGATGTTCATTGGCAGTCTGCGGTGATCGCGCGCACCGAGAGCCAGTCGCTGATTTCATGAAAGCCTCGTGGTCTCCCACCGAAATCGATCCCCGCAGGCTGAGAGTGTGTACAGACTCACGATCGCTGGTCAGATCCCACAAACACGACTGCTCTACACATGTGGGCTGAGCAAAATCAGATCTAGTGTGATGTAACGTGGAAAACACTTAGATATTAATTAGGGTCTATCTGCGCGCTGAGACCGGGGTCGGTTGAGAATGGCTGATTCTTGCCACATCAATAACCACCCATGCAAAAAGGTTTCGGTTTCTAATGGAACACTCTAAGTGGCAGAAAAATTAATTGTCGTCTTATTAGTCACATAGAGACGTTGGGCATGGGTAGATGAAAGTGACAGATAGTATCTTGCTTGCCTGCCGCAAGTGGTCTTGGATTGGCGTATCAGGAATCCCAAGGGTCTGTAATTGGGTGATGTACTTCAGATTGAGCCCACGGAGTGACTCCACTAAAACACACCATCTGGACAGTGGCCACTGCGAGCTTTCTGGTCCAGTTTAGACGTGTTGCCTTATGCTAGACATCACCATGCTATTGCAAGTACCAAAAACACAAAAAAAAGCTTAGCGATGCTCCTCGTGAAACAGCAACTCCACTAGCCTTGAAAGCCTTGCTATAGATAGAAAAATCACAGTTTTTTTCCTCTTATGGCACATTATTATAGCAGCCAATCAGATTCCAGTTTCAGGTCAGGTGACATGCTCTGGGTTTACACAGTCACATGGCAGCAGATCTCCTGCTCATGTCATAAAGCCCTCACCTCATCCAAGGTAACAGTGTTGCATCTCCTTCGGTTACATATAAATTCCCGTGCAATTCTTAAAATAGATTTTTCTCAGCAATTTAGGTGCAAAAACCAGCTTTCAGTAACAGTAACCAGTTGGATCACCAGGGATGCTTCAAACATCATTAAAATTATTATAATAATATAAACATATGATTAAAAACCAGTCTATCCATTAAAAAAAGAACATACAAGAAATGGAAGAACCAGTACTATAGCAATATAACTAAATTAGACAAAAAAACTATCATCGAACAACAGTGCACTGGAACAGAGACAATAAAAAAGAGGAAATCTATTCAGTCAGATGACACCGGGGAGCCCATATCACAGAGGAACAGTCCTCGGGCTCAGAGTCTCCAAGCAGGCTTTCTCAGAATGACTGTGGATTAGAAACGCATGTGAATTATTTACAAATATATGGTTTAACCTATTAGAAAATAGGAAAGCTATAGATTAAATTGCTTTACGGGTCAAAGCTTTAATCCTCTATCTGTATTTTTCAGGCCGGCATATTAACATTCCACCTGATGCAAAAAAAAAAAAAAA